CCCATCCATCCATCCATTCATCATCCATCCATCCATCCATCCATCCATCCATCCATCCATCCATCCATCCATTATCTATCTATCTATCTATCTATCTATCTATCTATCTATCTATCTATCTATCTATCTATCTATCTATCTATCTATCTATCTATCTAATGGTACTCAGGTTTTTCTTCTTCTTCTTCTACACAGATTGAATGTCAGAACTACATCCGGGTCCTGTTGGTCAATAAGACCGAGGTGATGACCTGTGGCACCAACGCCTTCCAGCCCCTCTGCACCACCAGAGAGGTCAGTTATTATTATTAGTTATTATTATTACTCTCTTATATAAGTCATTAGTTTTATTGATATCTGTAATTATCTGTAGTATTTATTAAGGAGTTATCGTAGGTTTTTGGAACCAGTTCTAGGCATTACAGTGTATTCTGATGTAAGATTTGAACCATCCATCCATTATCGTTACCCCTTATTCCCTAATGGGGTCTAAGGGGGGCGGAGCCTATCCCAGTAGCCAATGGGGAGAGGCGGGGTCACCCTGGACGGTCCCCAGTCCATCACAGGGACACACAGAGACACACAAGGACCAACAACCACACACAGTCACACTAAGGGCAGTTTGGAGTCCAACCAACCTAACATGCAGGTTTTTGGACGGTGGGAGGAAGCCGGAGAACCCGGAGAGAACCCACAGACACAGGAGAACATGCAGAACCACCCAGAAAGGTCCTGGTTCCCCCGGGACTCAAACCCAGAACCCTCTGGTCCCGGTTCCCCCCGGGACTCCAACCCAGAACCCTCTGGTCCTGGTTCCCCCGAGACTCCAACCCAGAACCCTCTGGTCCTGGTTCCCCCGGGGACTCCAACCCAGAACCCTCTGGTCCTGGTTCCCTTGGGGACTCCAACCCAGAACCCTCTGGTCCTGGTTCCCCCGGGGACTCCAACCCAGAACCCTCTGGTCCTGGTTCCCCCGAGACTCCAACCCAGAACCCTCTGGTCCTGGTTCCCCCGGGGACTCCAACCCAGAACCCTCTGGTCCTGGTTCCCTTGGGGACTCCAACCCAGAACCATCTGGTCCTGGTTTCTCCAGGACTAGAACCTAGAACACTCCACAAAGACACTGCCCAGGTTTGGGGATCCTGGTGCTCTCCGTGGTGCTGAAGAGGCAGGTTTCATCAAGTTATCAGAGAGGGTTAAAGTGCTTCTACTAGTAACCACTAAGTAGAATGTGCTTTAACAAATAGTAAAAAAGTGACTTTAAACGGTTAAATTAGAGAAAGTGAGCTGGGATTGATCAGATAGCTCCAACCCAAAACCCTCTGGCCACAGAAAAGTCCTGGTTCCCCCGGGGAACCAGGTACCACCGTGAACCAACATATATTACATATTACAACATATTTTAACCAACATACCAATATTTTAACATAGGAAGTCGGTCCTGTAACCAGTTAGATCCGTATCTTGCAGAAAGGTCCTGGTTCCTCTGGGGACTCCAAACCAGAACCCTCTAGTCCTGGTTCCTCCAGGGACTAGAACCCAGAACCCTCTGGTCCTGGTTCCCCCGGGACTCCAACCCAGAACCCTCTTACTGTGAGGCAATGATTCTAACCACCACACCACCGTGAACCAACATATATTACATATTACAACATATTTTAACCAACATACGAATACTTTAACATAGGAAGTCGGTCCTGGAACCAGTTAGATCCGTATCTAGAGCAGTGTTTTTCAACCTTTTTTGAGCCAAGGTACATTTTTTCATTGAAAAAATCACGAGGTACACCACCAACCAAAAATGTCAAACAAATCTGTAGCCGCCTATAGTAAAACTACACTTATTCTTATCTTATATTAAGTGTCTTGAATAGGAATCAAATAAACAAAAATGTATTTTTATCATATTTTATATTTCTTCTTTTAAATTGCTCTAAACATGTCCACTTCAATGTACAAAATTATATACAAAATCTAGTCATAAGGAATTATTACATGATTACGCCACCAGTCACTAGAACAGCACAAACTCTCAAAAATGGCGTATTATTTGCAGATAATTAATTCCTTATCAAAAAATCTTTTTAGACTAATTAGATGAAATGATGATTTTCTACGGCACACCTGATCGGTACTAGTGTACCGAGGCACAGTGGTTGAAAAACACTGAGCTAAAGGGCTCTCCAGTTCATCAGTCTGGGACCGATAGAGGCTTCTACAGTCCTCAGATAAAGGCCGTCAGACTTCTAAAATTTGGCTTTTCTGTAGCAAAACCGGGGGGCACTAGTGTGCCGAGGCACAGTGGTTGAAAAACACTGATCCAGAGGTTCTATTCCCCCTCTTCCCCCTCAGGTGGGGAACACCAGCCGGGTTCTGGAGCGCGTTAACGGCGTGGCGCGCTGCCCCTACGACCCGCGGCACAACTCCACGGCGGTTCTGACGGAGAATGGCGAGCTGTACGCCGCAACCGTCATCGACTTCTCCGGCCGGGACCCCGTCATCTACCGCAGCATGGGGGGGCTGCCCCCCCTCCGCACCGCGCAGTACAACTCCAAGTGGCTCAACGGTAAGAGCACGGTCAGAGTATTCTGATGGAAGATTTGTTTTTGATTTCTTCACGAGGAAAAGACAAACATCAAACCAGAGATCTGATCTTGTTTTACTTATTCTCAAGTATTTTAACACCATGAGTTCTTTGCTAACTTATGTTTTTTCATACT